TTGTCCCCATCCTCAGCCTCCGGTCCCATGGCATAAGGGGTGCCTGGCTCCCTCCTAAAGGGACAAGGAAGGGGATAACGACCTGCTGCTTCTCTGCAGAGCTGCAGGCGTGGAGTACCCCTGGGGTGCAGACAGACCTACAAATCCTCCCATCTCCAAAAAGCAGTGCATGGACCAGCCACCACACTGCTCTTCTGACCCTTCTCAGTGCCTAGAGCAGATGTCTGGATGGCAAGACCTTGTCCAGCACCAGCCTTTCCCATCAAGCCCCCCATTACGCTGCAGGTCCCATGGCTGGGGGCAGCCAAGGGGGCTGTAGAGGGCTCCGGGCAGGAGACGTGAGCGGGATCGGAGGCAGAACCACCTCTGCAGACATTGCAACACGGCCTGCGCTGGCCCGTGGGTCCTTCCCCCTGCAGGCAAAACGCCGCCTGCTCCACGGGCAGGATGCCCCGGCGTGTCGCGGCATGAAGCAAAGCAAACAGGAGCAGCAGGGAAGGTTTAGGGTGTTCCCTGTCCCGCCGGAGGCAAGGACCCACCTTCACACACAGCAATGGGCTGGAGCAAAGCTGGAGACCTGGAGGGCCCCCATCAGCGTGAATTCATCCCCCACGCTGGGGAAAAACAACTACTAATATGCCCCAAGGTGTGCAGAAATCCCCAGTAATTTGGGATGAAGCAGAAAGGAGAGTTTCCATGTTTTCTTCACTGTCAGCATCATATGCTTCATATGGTGATTTTTCAGTGGGATCCATTCCCCCCCATTTGATCCAGCAAGCACAAAAGCCGAGGCCAAATTCAGCAATACCCACTCCAGTCCCAAACACACACGTGCATCTTAAATACAGCCTTTTCAGGAAACAGGAGATTGGCTTTAAAAAGAGAAATACAAAAGCATGACATGAAAACAAGCAGAAATCCCAACACCACATATCCAGAGGTTTGCTTTAGTTGCCGTCAGAACTCCAAGCCCTTGGGACTTCCTGCAAGCGATGTTCAATGCAAAATAAAAATGACGTGGCCCTCGTTGGCAACATTGAAAAACCCCTGAGATTACAGACCGTGAACTGATGAAGTCCCCGTGCCAGTGTCTACACAGGAAGGGCTCATTCACAAATATCATGGAAAATGGACAGAACCACTTGTGCTGGCTCTCCATCCCACCAAATCCACGCCTCAGCTGGCATCTGGCAGCATCGAAAGCCCTTGGGAAGTACCAGCCCTGGCACCCTGCCTGGGGCAAGCCCAGCTCCTGCCTCCTCTGCGGGGAAGGTCTAAATCCCTCCAGGGATGGGGACTCAACCACCTCCCTGGGCAGCCCATTCCAGAGCTGACAGCCCTTTCGGGGAAGAAGTTTTTCCTAATGTCCAACCTAAACCTGCCCTGGTGCAACTTCAGGCCATTTCCCCTCGTCCTATTGTCCATCACCAGGGAGAAGAGACCAACACCCACCTCGCTCCCCACTCCTGTCAGGCAGTTGTAGAGGGCGATCAGGTCTCCCCTCAGCCTCTTCCCCAGACTAAACACCCCCAGTTCCCTCAGCCGCTCTTCATAAGCCTTGTGCTCCAGACCCCTCACCAGCTTTGTGGCTTTCCTCTGGACATGTTCCAGCAACTCAATGTCTTCCTTGTAGTCGGGGGCCCAAAACTTAACACAGTGTTCAAGGTGCGGCCTCACCAGCACCAAGTACAGGGGCACGATCACTTCCCTACTCCTGCTGGCCACACTATTCCTGATACAAGCCAGGACGCCATTGGCCTTCTTGGCCATCTGGGCACAAGGTGGGTCTAGATGGGTGAGGGTGAGCAGAGGATGCTGGGCTAAAGAAAAGAGTCTGCAGGGCTGCCAGCATTGAGAGAGCACCTCAACACAGCACCCCGACACGGCACCCCAACACAGAACCCTGACGTGGCACTCCAGAACAGCAGGACCAGCCACAGCCCGGTGCCGAAGTCACCAACCCAAAGCATGGTACCCAGCTCCAGGGTCCTGGGAGAACCATCAGCAAAGCAGCAGCCCACCCATGTACAACATGGTGAAAACCCCCACATCTCTCAAATCAAAGGACATTTTAAGGAAGTTGAGCCCTGTCCTGGTCAGCACCAATGGTTGCTGCCACTGAATTCATGCCCCGGGGACCCGACACTCCCCCACCAGCCGTGGGAGATGATGGTGGCCCTTTGCAGACGTGACTGGTGACTCGGTGCACAAGAGCCAGTGGCATTTCCAGGTGGGGAGCCTGCTTTGGGAAAGGAATGAGGAATATGCAGCCAGGCCCCCCCCCCCCCCCCCCCAGCCGTGGGAGATGATGGTGGCCCTTTGCAGACGTGACTGGTGACTCGGTGCACAAGAGCCAGTGGCATTTCCAGGTGGGGAGCCTGCTTTGGGAAAGGAATGAGGAATATGCAGCCAGGCTGTCCTCATGAGCCTGCATGCACGGACATGTCCATCTGTCCTGCTCACCCTCTTCTTTTCCCCTCCACCCCCCCCACAATTTTTCAACTCAGTTCATCCAACTGTGGCAGAGGTACAGGGGACTCAAAAATACATTGATCCCACCTCTTGCAGAGACAGAGCAGAGGACAGACACTTTCTATGCACACAAGGAAGGTGGCCAGGTGAGCACAACTCTTATGAGACACCCGAGAACCCACCCAGCCATCCCAAACCCATCAGAAAGCCAAGCTGCAATGCTCCTGCTGCCACAGACAGACTGCTCAGCTGTACCTCCCCCCGCCCCCCA